GCGTTTTGTTGTTTGCCAGATGACATCAGGTGTCCAGAGCTCATCTCTGGGCTCTGAGTTCTGAGGCTGCTGTGTGGTTCTGGGAGGCAGAACTTCAGCATCAATGTTTTCACAGCGTCTGACAGTCTTGCCACCTCGGATGCTGAGCCATGTGTGATCAGGTCATGCGATTGTGAGAATCCCAGCCTTGAACAAGTGTGAAGATGCACAGGTATGGAGGAAAAAAAAAAAACAGATTGAGTCTGTGGGAACGACTAGATTTTGACCACAGCTTTCATACCAGCTCGGTGGTAGAAGAGACCGGCACAGTCACGAAGATCTCACATTCCTAGGAATGACTAAATCTATACAGACCAAGGGTGCTGCCCAGATCCTAATCCAGGGAAATAAGACCTTGATGGCTCCAACTGGATCCTTGCTTCCTTGGCTGCAGAGCCATTTCCATTTCCAGCATCAGTCGCGTGGCAGAGCACTCACTGGAGGTCCATCCTGGAACTCCCACTACAGAGCAGAAGGGATGGGCTCTCTTTCACTCAGAATGCCTGGGCTGGGCAGGGGTTAGAGATGTAGCTTTCAGGGCTGAGCTGTAGAGCAAGGATTCCACTTTAAACATGAAGACAAGTTAGCTGGAGAAAATAGCAAATGCAGTCAAAAGACTTCTTTGCCTTCCTTCCAACTTCCCTGAAGAAATCCTCGTATGTATTTAAAATCCTCTGTTGTGTTTTGTGTTTACACAAGCTTTCACAACTATCATCTCATCTAAACTTTACAAACCCCTCCTGAGGCAGGCATGTAGCTGCACATATGGGCTGTAGCCCATGGAGCCCACGGCCATGCTGGCGCCCGGCCCAGCTCTCAATCCCTGTGGTCCAGCACATGGGGCCGGTTCGGAGGCAGGGGAAAGGAGTGGGGCTCCTCAGTCTGCCCGTTGGATTGCAGTTCAGCAGCAGCTTGGGCATATTCTCTGATGTTTAATTAATAATCCAATAATTAACTTTGAGGAAGCCATCTGCTGGTTTGCATGTGTGTGTAATCCAGGTGGAACCAGTCTCTGCAGGTGCACTTGGAGAGAAAGGGGCAGGCCAGGTCTTGCTTTGACCTACCCCTGACCTGCATGGACAGAAGCAGAATTTCTCAACTGATTGCTTTTCCTCCAGCTCCCAGAAGGGAGAAAAGGTGTCATCTCACATTTCAAACGCGTTCATGAAGACTTAGCTGGTGACTGAGGCAAAAGGCTTCTGGGGCTGAGCTCATGTCACTGCCTCTGGCAGAACTTTCCAGCCTCTTACTCAGCTCTGCTTGCTGGATGCAGGATTGAGATACTTCCCACTCAGGTGCAACTTCCCCGCCTTTCTAGACAACCCCCTATCCCCCTCAACCTGCCCCCCACCTTGCTCAAGTATGGAGATTATTCACAGGAGAACGACTTCCCCTTCTGAACTAAAAACACCCACCAAGCAGTCATGGTTTTTCCAGCATGGGGCGCAGGCCCCCGGGCTCAGACGGACAGGAGTCTGGCTTCTTGTCCTGGGTGCTTGGGTAGGAAGACCCTAGCAAGGAGGAGCATGGCGGAGGGATCATCCTGGGCCAGGCGCCAAGTTGCCGCACCCCTGGAACCTGTCAAGCTGGCCCTGCCAGGCTGAGGGTCTTCAGGGAGGAGAGGACTCTTGCCCTCAGGCATGTTTTATGCTGCCCTTTCTGAGGGACCGATTTGCCCCTTGCTTTTCTTATCCCCCTTATCCTCTATCTCTACTTCGCAATAGACCCAGTGCTGAGTATAGGGGACATTCCACTTCCCCAGCCCATTATGTCTGTGTAATAGGATGTTGAATGGGATGCATGTTATGCTGGAATTGATGACTGGGGCCCAAATCTGGGACACTAGGTCCTAAAGAGAGCAACCCATGGTTGGGACCAGACCTCTCTCCTGGTGTTTCACAAGAGAGCCTAGAACTGGCCTAACCTTCAGCAACCATCACCCCAGCCCTTCCATCCCCTCCTCCCCTGGGCAACAGAAATGACTGGGTGGTGGCACCCAGAGAATCTTAGCGTGGACTTTGCGGGAGGGCCTATTTGGGGTGAGGAGTTCCTTCCTTCTGCCTTAGGGGAAGGAGTGGGGGATGCAGACTCAGGAGAATCCAGTACTTTGTGTGTATGTGGAGGGGAGCTGACGTTCTGTCCTCCTGTTGCATGTCTGCCTGTACTGCAGACCGTGGCCCTGCCCCTCAGCCTGTCAGAACAGGAGCTGAAGAGAACGGGAGAGCGCGCAGGACAGAGCCAGAGCTCTCATGATGCAAGGGAGCCGCTCTGAGTTCTCCAGCCAGTCCTCTCCCAAGAGGCGCGCGCTGGGCACTAGCTGAAGTCTGAATGGCATCATGAATGTGTCGAGGCTGGACAAGGGACCTGTGAGAAGAGCGGAGACACACAAGCTGCTACTTCTTTTTTTGAGACAGGGTCTCACTCTGTCACCCAACCTGGAGTGCAGTGGTGCAATCTCGGCTCACGGCAACCTCCGCCTCCTGGGTTCAAGTGATTCTCATGCCTCAGCCTCCCGAGTAGCTGGGACTATAGGCACGCACCACCACGCCTGGCTAATTTTTGTAATTTTTAGCAGAGATGGGGTTTCACCATGTTAACCAGGCTGGTCTCAAACTCCTAACCTCAAGTGATCCACCCACCTCTGCCTCCCAAAGTGCTAGGATTACAGGCGTGAGCCACTGCACCCAGCTCCAAGTTGCTACTTCTATGTGGATGCCTGGGAGGCAGCGTGGCATCTGGGAAATATCCCTCGGGGGATCTATTTGGTATTTTATTCTGGGGCTTTCCATCTCATTCTCTTCCCCTTTCTCTCTGTTTTGGTTTCTTCTTTTTCCTTCTTTCTCTCTCTCTTGCTGAGCTTCCGTAGTGTCTCTCTCTTTCTCCAAGAACATCAGGGTTACTCCCTTGGGGTCAAACCTACGCTCTTCCCACCCAATCTCCACTAAGCAGACTGTGGGAAGACTTAGTTATAGTTTTTTGTCACATGGTGAGAAAAGGTAGGCACACACCCCTAAATATCCTGAAACAAGCTGCCAGGGCTCAGTCACCAAACCCATTTTAAATCAGTTATATTTTCATTCTCTGGGTAAAGGGTTTCCTGAAGTTTCTACCTGCTCTAAGTTTCTACCCTTGAGGCTGATTCACTAGTCCAGTAAGATCAAGGAAATGAAAGGCTTTTCATATACCAGCAGGTAAACAAACGCATATGCAAACCAGCCTTCAGAGTGGGAAAATGAAGGCGCGCATGAAAGAGGAATAAGGTTTCTATCATCACAAAGGCATTCATGGGTAAGGCAGATGTATTTGCTGTTATGGAAAGTCCAGAGTGTTAGAATTTGAAACCTGAAAGACTTAAATTTAGGGGCAAAAAGGGCAACTAATGTTTAGCTGAGTGTGGTGCAGGGAAAATCACAGATCTTGCAAGTGCTATTTGAAGCCCTGGCTGTGAGAAGCCCTAGCTGTGAGATTGGGCCGTCAGGTTTCTTCTCTCAGTCTCCGTCTCCTCAGCCCTCAGTGGGGCCCCCTCCCTGCCTGCCTCACGGAGCTGCTGTGAGGAGCAGAGCAGAGGGCTCCTGACGGCACTCTCTATACTATTAGTCTTTCTGTTGCTGAGAGTCACTGTTATTACTGAGGAACGGTAGGCCTGTAACAAGACACGATAGGAAGTGGAACACAAGCAGAGACAGGAAGTTGGGACCTATCCTGAATTTTGAGATTAGGATCCTGGGAAACAATCCTGCATTCCCCAGACAGGTCCTTTGGTACCATTTGCTCAAGGGCAAGCCTAGATTGGCAGAGTCTTTGTTCCGAACCCCGAGGACTGTTCTGACATTTATTGACTTTCAGGAGATTGCTCGTTTGTGGTTTGCGAAGGACAGGCAAGCAGTCGTATACATGCATAAATGAAGCTTATGGAGTTGGAGACTGACGGGACACAAGGGGTCCCCGGACCCACAGTCCCATGTGGCTGAATTGAGATCCCTGAGTATTTCTCGAGGCCCCTTCTTGATCTGTGGATGTGTCTGGGATCCTCCCTTCTGGTTTTGAGCATGTGCCATTGGCCTCAGCCTTTGGTCCTAGATCCTGGGTGCACCCGTTGTTCTCAACCATTCAGCAGCCATGCCCCGTGGACTCTGGATCTTAGATTTTCCCCTAAACTCTTGATTTTTCTGCCTTTTTATTGTGTTTATGGATAACATTTGCTCACCAGGTCCAGAATCATTGCACATGGTGACTCCTAGCTTTGGATGCCTCCCTCTCCCCACCCACCCAACCCAGCTGAGAACAGTAATCACTCCTGTAGTCATTTGCGGTCACTGGAAGACTGTTCATGCCTGAGTTTAGATTAATTGCCAGATCTACATAAGAGCGTTCACAGTGTGAGTTGCTACTGGTTTTGTTTAAGATCGTTTTAGTATATCCACCAAGTTATGGTTTTTTTAGTAAAGGGTTTCCATTTGAGTGTTTATAAGTGCCTTTGTTATTTGTGAATTGGAAAAACGAGTAAGGAATCTGTTGATGTGTTATTCACCTCTGATTCCAAACAATTGTCCAATAATGCTGTAGAATCCTGGGGTATCAGCAGAGATCACTGGTATCAGTGTTCAGTCAGGAAAACAGAAATAACTCCAGTCATTTTAAACAGGGAATCTCATCCACAGGGCTGATTGCAGAAGTGTTAGAAGGGCTGAAGGAGCAAAGAGCACCCAGTAAGGTTGGCCATAGGTTAGTAACTGCCGGAAGCTGCTGTCCCTGCTAGGACTGGAGGATGAAGAGGGCTCATGACCATGAGCCCCAGGAGGTGAAACCCAGAATCTTACACTCACTTAGAAGCATCATCTAGTGCTTCTGCTTGCATTCCATGGGCTGGAACTCAGCCACACAGCCACCTCTAGCTGCAAAGAGGCTGGGAGTCTACCTGACTCCCTGGCTACTTGAATGATGACTAGAGGGAAAGGACTAGGTTTGTGAACAATGAGTCTCTGCTACATGTGGGTACGGGAGTCACTGTTGTTATGAGAGAACAGTGACCCTTTTGTAGAGGTATGCTTCAGGATATGTGTGTGTGTGTGTGTGTGTGCATGTGTGTATACACACACACTTGCCCTGGCACAATAAGACAGGATTGTTTTTAAGCTGAGTTCTCCTACCTCCCTCCTCCTGTTCCACTCTCACTCCCTCCCCATGCTATCCCTGGCCCTCCCCTCAGCTGATTTCTGTGTGTTCTGTTTGCAGGAGGCCCTGGCCCAGCCCCAGCCCTGGTGGAAGAGCCAGCTGTTCGTGTGGGAGCCTGTGCTGTTTGGGACCTGGGATGGTGTGTTCACATCCTGCATGATCAACATCTTTGGGGTTGTGCTCTTCCTGAGGACAGGCTGGCTGGTGGTGAGTGCTGAGCTAGTGGCCTGGGGCCTCTCACGGGCCTGAGACAGGAAAGCTCTGCCCCTCTTGGCATTCTACAGTGCAGACCACAGATTCCTGAAGCACAGATACTCCTGAAACATGAAACAGAAGCAAGCACAGTGAATAGCTAGCATTGCTTGTTAAATGAGCATCCTACGAACATAGGCTTCTGAGGTTGCGATGGAAACCTCACGCTGTAGATTTAACTGTGGAATAGGAGCACAGAAGTCAGGGGTCATCATGGGCGGGACTCCAGATGGGTCGGAGAGATCATTGATGGCAATTTTGCCTCCAGCTTGTGGCCCTCTGTAGTTTTCCTGGTATTCTTCACTTCATCTTGGGCCCGCCCACATGGTTGCCTTCCCCCACTGTACCGCAACCCTGTGGGTAAGACTGTGCATGAAGATGCTTGGTCATAGGTGTGGGCCACCTACCTCTAGGGATGGATCGCCTAGGACGCACTCTGCTGTGTGAGATCCTGGGGGTCAGTTCATCTCCGTCTGTAGAAGGAACAAAAGGCCTCTTCTTTAAGTCTTATGCAAAAGCATCCTAGGACCTTCCAAGCAGATGTGTGCCTGGAGCAGGTGTTCTCAGTCCCACACACAGTGCCATCTCATGCAGTGGGACTTCAGTAGACCACACAGGTGTGCAGAACAAAAGGCAAGCCAGTCACCACCTAAACATGGCTGAGCACCTGCTGTGGGCCAAACACTCCTTAGTGCCAATGGGATTACAAAAGACAAGACATGGCCTGGGGCCTCATCCCCTCTTCTCCGCCCCGCCCCGCCTCATGAGCTAACAACCATGATGGGTAGATATCACATTAGGAGAGTTCTCAAAACAGCATTAAGTCCCTTGGGGTGGAACAGGCTATGAGTGCTGCAGTCACTGAGGTGTCCAGGAAGGCTTCCTGGAGGAGATGTGGTTGAGCCAGGCTTTGAAGGGTGAGCTGGACTAGATGGGCGAAAGAGAGGAGGCCATTCAAGGTGTTGAATCTACTAGTCAGGATTCTCCAGAGAAACAGGCCAATGCCAGCAGGAGATGTAAGTATATCAGGCATATATTAGCAGGTAAGGATTGATGCTGCCGTCTTGAGTCTGAAGGCTGGAAATGTAGGAAGAACTTCTGTGTTGCAGCCTGGAGGCAGAATTCATTCTTCTTTAGGAAACCAGTCTTTGCTTGTAAGGCCTTCAACTGATTAGATAAGGCCCACCCATACTATGGAGGGTAATCTCCTTTACTTAATTAAGGTCAACTGATAGTAAATATTAATCACATCTGAAAATCACTTTTACAGCAACATTGAGACTAGTGTTTGACTAAACAGTTAGTTGCCATAGTCTAGCCAAGTTGACATATAAAATTAACCATTACATGGGCAAATTTCGGGAGATATAAACTCCTTTATAGTGGGATGTACAGGATTCTTAGCCCCCATAAGAAGTCTGGGCAAGGTCAGATCTTCCTAAGCTCTCATTCTATGCCACACTCAGATCCTCAGCTCAGGGTTCAGCCTTAACCACAGCCAGGGTGGGTCTCAGACCAGCAGTGGAGCCCCTGAGCATTATATTATGAACACTGGAACAGAGTACAACTGACTTCCAGGGCAATTTTCCAGCTCATGTTAGGTCACCCAGCTCTTGAACTGGCTCTGCTCACTCCTAGTTCTCTCTCCAGCACCTGCAACACGTGGAGTCTTGACTATCAGGAGTCTTCCTTGCTTCCTATTGCAAAATATGTGACGTTACAGCTCCTTCTTAGATGTGCTGTGTCCATTTCCTCTCAGGAACTCTTGCTTTTCACACTGAAATGTGTCTATCTACATGTGTTCATCTCCAGGCGTGCATGTGTTTGTTTATTCGCTCAACAAGCATTTAATGAACACCTATTTTGTGGAGGTTATGCTAAGCACTGAGAATATGAAGGGGAAGAAAACATGATCCTGCTCCATATTAGTCCATGTTGCATTGCTATAATGGAATACCTGAGGCTAATTTATAAAGAAAAGAGGTTTATTTAGCTCACAGTTCTGCAGACTGTACAAGAAGCATGGCACCAGCATCTGCATCTGGTGAGGCCTCAGAAAGCTTTCACTCATGGGGGAAGGTGATGAGGGAGCAGGCGTGCCACATAGCCGGACAGAAGGCAAGAGAGGTGCCAGCCTCTTTTAAACAACCAGCTCTCCTGCGAACGAACAGAGTGAGAACTCCCCCATTACTGTGGGAGGACACCAAGCCATTCACAAGGGGTCCACCCCCATGACCCAAACACCTCCCACCAGGCCCCACCTCCAACAATGGGGATCACATTTCAACTTGAGATTTGGAGGGGATCCAAATCCAAACATCTAAACCATGCCATCCTCGCCTGGAGCTCACAGCCTAGACGTCAAAACCGGCTTGGAAACAGACTCAGTTTGACAAGTCCTGTGAAAAGCACTAAGCCCCGGCACTGGAAAAGCCCAGAGAAAGGGTTACAGGGCCAGCTTCCTGGTGAGAAATCCTAAACACAGACCTAAAGGATATGCTGCAGTTAACCTGACAAAGATAGAGAATGAGCAGGAGAGGCCTTCCAGGCAGGGAGTCAGCATAGGGAAGGGTGGGAGTGGGGAGAGAACTTGCCGCTGCATGTTAGGCACAAAGTGAGATTAGGAGGCACCTTGTGGGGGCATCGGCAGCTCTGACTGTACTCTACAGTGCGAGTAGAGTGCGAGAGTCATTGAAGAATTTGCAGCCAGGACGCTTCCCTTCAGTTAGAACTGCTTCTTGGCCTTGGCTCTTGTGGTGCTTGCTTTGTCCTTTTTAGTTGTCCTGACTCTGTGCCTCCACCCCCGGCCCCCATTCCAATGCTGTGGGAGGAGGGGAGGTGGTCAGTGCTCCCAGCAGGGAGCTGGCGGGGCCTTCTCGCCTAACCCAGTCTCGCTCCTTGCTATTCTGCTGCAGGGAAACACGGGAGTGCTCCTGGGCATGTTCCTGGTGTCCTTCGTCGTCCTGGTGGCCCTCGTCACGGTGCTGTCTGGCATTGGTGTCGGGGAGCGCAGCAGCATCGGCAGCGGTGGCGTCTACTCCATGATCTCCTCGGTCCTGGGTGGGCAGACGGGAGGCACCATCGGGCTGCTCTATGTGTTTGGCCAGGTGAGACCCACGCCCGGGACACTTCCCCTGCCTGGCCCTCTGCTGCTTTCTGGTCCATTTCCTCACTTGACCTGGTGAGAGGCGAGGGTGGGGACGATTGCCCCATGTGACAGACGAGCAGGCTGGGGCTCTGAGGGGAACTCAGCAGAGAGCCAAGTCACCATCTGGGGCCTGATCCGTTAGTCCAGCACTCCTTTCCCTCTGCCACTCCCGCCTCTGGGATGCCTGATGTGACCGCGGGGCAGGGCCTGGCCAGCACATTCTCGCTGTTCAATCTGCGGACCAGCATGTATGACAGCCGCTGAAGCCCGGGTGGCAGCCAGGTGGCCTGGGCCCTGGGGTGCTTTTGTACTGAAAGCAGGTATTTTGCCTGTGCCAAAGGGCTTTGCTAGAAGCAGGCACTTCTCAAATGAGCTGGAGCTCCCCAACAGCATTTGATAGCTTGGGTGGCCTTTACAGGGAGGCCGGCAGCCCCTTGTGTGGATGCCCGGTCTGAGAGGAAGAATGTTAATGAGGAGCCTGCTTCATCAGAATGGACGAAGGCACTCCGAAAACCAGCGAGTAGGGGGAAATCCTAAGGCTTTTTTAGCTAAAACACAGGCATGGTGACTTAATGCTGAGGGAACAAAGTACAGACATTAAGAAGCAGTTCTTTGTCAGCATTTCTTGGATTGAAAAAGGCTTTTATGAGAGTGCAAATGGTGGTGGGTGGTTGAAAAAACAGTTTAAAGAGAAGAATTTGTCTAAGTAAGAGTGTGCAAGAATCTCCCCAGAGAAAGCATCGGTTTTGTTTCTTTTATTTTTAGGCAGCAGGAGCAGGGTGCTTCAGCATAAATACATCTGATTCTCGAACAGCACAGAGCCGCGTGTGTGCATGTGTGGGTGGTGGGGTGCGTGTGTGTCTAGGACAGTGCAAGGAAGGCAAATGGATGGCCTCTGCACTCTTAAAAAGCACTTGCCTTGACTGCAGAAAGTTCTTTAAGTATAGTAGTTGAAAAGGGGAGTAATAAATGGTCAGTTTACTTTATTACCCTGGGGATTTGGGGTGTGTGTGTGTGTGTGTGTGTGTGTGTGTGTATATATATATACAGAAACTTCTATGGCTTAAAGCAACACAGGTATGGTGACTTAATGCTGAGGGAACAGCACGACATTAAGAATATGCCCTTTATTCACATTTTAGATTATACGCTTATATATGCCTGTGGTGGTGGGCTGAAAAATAGTATAAAGAGAGAAGAACTTGTCTTACAAGATATGCAAGAACCCCCTGTGATAAAAGCACCTGCCTGCTTTTGACATTTTAGCAGCATATGCGCTCTTGGCATAAATACATCTGACTCTCTAATGTATATGGCACAGAGCCACATAGTGTGTATGTGTGTGGTGGTATGTGCAGTGTCTAGACAGTGGGGAAGGCTGCAAATGATAGACTTCTGCACTCTTAAAAAGCACGGTTCTGACTGCAGAAAGTTCTTGGCTATAGAGAAGGAAGTATGTATGTTTGTGTAAATGGTCAATAGCTTAGACATACTTATTATTACCCTGGGGGACTTGTGTGTGTAAAAGTGAAGTATATACAATTACCCTGGGGATTTGGGGTGTGTGTGTGTGTGTGTGTGTGTGTGTATATATATATATTTTTTTTTTTTTTTTACTTCTCTGCTATTTTATAGCCAACCAGGCTGCAAGGTAGGCAAAGTCCTGCTTTTCCCCTCTCGGTGCAGACACCAAGTGAGCCTTTAGAAGCAGATGCCATGGGTGGACACCGGCGTGAACACCCCTGGACAAAGAGAGGGAGCTGGGCTGCTGAGAGTCCTCCTTATGTGGGCTGATTTGGAAAAAAGATGTTCACAAATAAGATGTTTTCTAAGCACTGGCAGCCACAGCCTGAGACGCCATTGCACCAGCATCCCAGCTGTTTTGCCGCCTTTCCACTTGGGCCTTGGTCCCAAACATGAGAGTCCCCCGGTCACTATCTCTGGAGTGCCTGTGCTTTTAGCTGACGCAGGCCGGGAGTCCCTGATCAGGGTGTGGTTACTGTGTAATCCTTTTTATAAATTGCCGAATTTGGTTTGTTAACATTTTGTGGAGGATTTTCGTGTATATATTCATGAGGGATACTGGTCTGTAGTTTCCTTGTGATTCTTTGTCTGGTTTTGGTGTCAGGCTAATTCTGGCCTCACAGAGTGAGTTGGAAGGTGTTGCCTCCTTCTCTATTTTTTGGAGGAGTTTGTGAAGGGTTGGTGTTAATTCTTTAAACATATGGTAGAATTTTGCCATGAAGCCATCTGGTCCTGGGTTTTTTTTTGATAGAAACTTTTTTGGTTACTAATGGAATCTCTTTACTTATATAGGCATATTCTGATTTTCTACTTCTTCTTGATTCAGTTTTGATAGTTTGTATCTTTCTAGGATTTTGTCTATTTCTTTTCTTTCTTCTTTTTTTTTATTCTGGGAGTTTTTTTGTTTTGTTTTTTTGAGACAGAGTTTTGCTCTTGCCTCCCAGGCTGGAGTGCAATGGTGTGATCTCAGCTCACCACAATCTCTGCCTCCCGGGTTCAAGCAATTCTCCTGCCTCAGCCTCCCGAGTAGCTGTTACTGCTTTCCTTAAAGTAAGTCTCTTTGGTTTCAAGCATCCTTATTTACAACTTATATTGCAAATTTCCAGTGATGGTGCCATCATCTATTTAGCATCAACAAAGTATCTTATGATATTCACAGCTAGCTGCTGCTTCCTCTTCTTCAGCTGTGAATAATAACGAAGTCATAATGATAATGATGGTAGCTATTATTATTATTATTATTTTCTGCCCAGGCTGGAGTGCAGTGGCGTGATCTCGGCTTTCTGCAACCTCTGTCTCCTGGGTTCAAGTGATTTTCCTGCCTCAACCTCCCAAGTAGCTGGGACTACAGGTGCGCACCACTGCGCCTGGCTTATTTTTAGTTTTAGTAGAGATGGAGTTTCACCACATTGCCCAGGCTAGTCTCAAACTTCTGGCCTTAGGTGATCTGCTCACCTTGGTCTCCCAAAGTGCTGGGATTACAGGTGGTAGCTATTGTTTCTACAACTCTATCAGTCAGATATTGTTCTAGGACTTTACATAAATCATCTCATTTAGTTCTTACAGTAACCTTCTGAAGGTTACTATCATTATCTGTGTTTCATGGAGAGGTTAAAACGCTTTCCCAAGTCAGCTAGGATTTAGCCTTAGATATTTTGGCTTCGCAGTTCATGCTCCTAACCACCATGCCCTTACAAGCCTCCTGAGGAGCTTCCCCTGCCTCCTACCCTGCCCCATCCCCTGTTGCTGGCATCTTTGGGCTAAAAAGCAATTTTAGATACAAACCAGAAAGATGAGATCCACTGGAGTTACTGGGAACAAAAGGCAGCATTTACAGCTTGGCTCACTTTGCATGAGCAAATTGTTCTACTGCTAGGAAAAAAAAATCAGTTTGGAAGCTTCAGATGCAAATGGTCCCATGGCATCATCCTCTGCATGTCAGAGACATCAGGTACCTGGGAAAATGGTGTCCATATTAATGGTATTCATTGCTACATTTTTGTCATTTCTTTTCTTTCTTTTGCTCAGATAATTTTGACCATGAAGAGTCCTGTTGGCCTGGCCACATACTGATGAAATAACCTCACTATCACACATCACACTCTTGGTGTTTAGTAAAGAGGAAGTTTGAGTTCTGAGATGAATGCAGGAAACCATTCATCTGTCTCTCTCTCTCTTTCTCTTTTTCTGTCTCTCAGAAATGATTGTAATTCCTTCACATTTCTTGGGCTTTCCACCTCACCCTAATATGGACAGAAATGTTTGTCATTATGGGATGCTGGAATAACTGTTAAGCTAAGTGTGTAAACTTGGGGGATGCGGACAAACAGGACATGTGCCCAGTTGCAAAGTGAGCTGATCTCACTGAAGAATGGGGCTTTGTTCACAAGCTCCTCTCAAATCCAGAAATTGTATTACTCTCTTGCCTTTACATGAAAGTGCTGGAACTCATGGAGCCTGCTTCCCAGAGCACCTTTTATATGATCAGCATCTCACAAAATATTTATCGAATGCTTGCAACATACTTAGCAAATGCAAGTACTTGAAGAGGTACAATCAGCATCAACAATTTTTTAAGATATTTGCATTCTTGGTGGTGGGGTGAGCAGACAAACTTATGTGCATGACATGATAATAGAATATGGAACCAGATAATTAATTGTATGGCCCTAGCAGTTTGCTTACTATTTATTCAGAAAAGGAGGTTGAGGAATTCATGGAAAAGGAGGGACTTGAATGAATGAGGCCCTAATAGAATTTGTTCCCAGAGAATGGCAAGGGCAGGGCTACAGTGATAAGAGTGACCAGCTGGCCCTGGGGGCAGTGAAGGACAAACCCGAGGAGAGAAGGAGGCTGAGGCTGAGGAATTAGGAAAAGTGAGACTGATGTTATTTTCAACAATTTAATTTGAAATGATCTTTCAAATATTTCCTAAAAGATAAAATCATGACACTCAGGCAAATATAAGAAAAACATGTGCCAAGGATTTCATTTCATTTTTATGTTTTAAAAAAGATTATATAACAAATATTCATAGGAAGCCTCACCTGGACCAGGGATTTTATTTATGAATTAATAGAGGAGCCAATAAGATGTTAAAGAGCAGTTGTGAAGGATGCTGGGTGGATAGAGGTCAAATTTGTAAATTCATAGTTAGGCAGTTGAATAAATAAATGTTAGGGTAAGATTGATGGGTTAGATAGAAAACCAGCTAATGTCTTACAGGACAACAAATCCTTATCTTTTGGGTTATATGTTCCACTGGACAGAAGTTATTTGCATCTGTACTGGAAAAAAATCTATAAGGTAACATATAACTTTATTAAATCTGGGGCATATAATGCATTTAATCAACAGCAAATAGTAAGTACAATGAAGTACATTCACCTAGATAGTCCTTGGGTAGCCTTTGTCACATATGACATTGAAAAAGATGTGCCACTCACTTTTTTTTTCTATTGCTAAGTTTTAGATAATTTTAAAAATAATACTGACCTACAGAGAAATGAAGAAAAATCTGGTTTACTGCAGTGCCCTTTTAAGGCTCTGTAGATGGGACCTCCTGTGTGTTCTTGTTCTACATTTAGTACTTGAATAACTCGGACCGAGAAATCTGGAGGCCTCTTTGGCCCAGTGTCCCATCTTCTTCCTCCCATAGTCTTTTCATCTTTGTTACCACTGACAGTCGGCTCTCAGCTTGGGTTCCTCCTTCATTCTTTAGTTGAGATGTAGACAAGCAGAAATGGGGCCTGAGGCAAGTTCACAGGT